ATGGGGAGCGGTGGGGGGAGGGGGACCCCGGGAGGACGACGAGAGCGGCGAGTTCGAGGACGAGAACACGAGAGCGGCGGCAAGAGCGGCGACTCCCTCTGGGAGGCCTGGGAGATCAGCGCTGAACCCCCTTGAGGGAACGCCCCGCCCGCCTCGCGCGCCAGGCCTGGCGGGGGCGGCCGCCTGGCGGGCGCGCCCAACAGCGAGATCCCCCGCGCGAGCGCCGAGCCCGCGGGCGCGCCGGGCGGTCCGGTGTCCTTGCGCGGTCGGGGGGCAGCGGCGGGGTGGTTGGTGGGGTGGGAGAGGGCCAAGAAGAGGTTGGGAGGAGGGGGAGGAGGGGAGGAGAGGAGGAGGAGGAGGAGGAGGAGGAGGGAGGAGGAGGAGGAGGAGGAGGAGCAGGAGGAGGAGGAGGAGCAAGAGGAGGAGCAGGAGCAGGAGCAGGAGCAGGAGCAGGAGCAGGAGCAGGAGGAAAAGGTGAAAAAAAAACAGCGCTTCGGGGGCTGATCCAAGGTGCACTCGAACACTCCATGCAGGAGAAGGAGGGGAGAGGGGGGCAGATGCAGGGGGGAGGGGGCAAAGGGGGGGAAGAAGAGAAGGCGGCAGAGGGAGCGGGTGGGGGCGGAGGGGGGGAATGAGGAGGAGGAGGAGGAGCAGAAGGAGGAGGAGGAGGAGGAGGAGGAGGAGGAGGAGGGAGGAGGAGGAGAGGAGGAGGAGGGAGGAGGAGAAGGAGGAGGAGGAGGAGGAGGAGGAGGGGGAGGAGGAGGAGGAGGAGGAGGATGAGGAGGGGGAGGGGGAGGAGGAGGAGGAGGAGGAGGTGGAGGAGGAGGAGGAGGAGGAGGAGGAGGTGCAAAAAGTAAAGGCGCTTCGGGGGCTGTTCCAAGGTGCACTCGAACACTTCAGATAGGAGGAGGGGAGGGGGGAAGGGGGGACAGTGGCGCGTGGGGGGGAGAAGAGGAGGGGGGGTCGGGGGGCGGAAAGGAGGCGGCCGGTGGGGGCGGAGGAGGAGGAGGAGCAGGAGGAGGAGACGAGGAAGAGGAGGAGGAGGAAGAGGAAGAGGAGGAACAGAGGAGGAGGAAAAGCACGAGGAGAAGGAGGAGCAGGAGGAGGAGGAGGAGGAGGAGGAGAAGAAGGAGGAGCAGTAAGAGGAGGAGGAGGAGGAGGAGGAGGAGGAGGAAAATAGTAGGAGGGAAAGATGAGGAGGAGGAAAAGAGGAGGAGGAGAAAGATGAGGAGGAGGAGCAGCAGCAGCAAGAGGAGGAGAAGGAGATGGGGGGAGCCCGGGGAAGAGGGGCGGTGGGGGGGGGGGCGGTCGCGGCGGAGGAAGGATGAGAGGAGGAGGTGGAGCCAGGTGCGCTCGCGCCATATCCACGTCCAAAAATGACGTGCTGCCGGAGGCAAGCCAGGCGAACGCCTTAACGAAACACATCCCGTGTCTCCAACTTTTTTGCACTTCGGTCAAATCGACATTACTATGTAACCCTGCCTGCCCCGCCCCAGAGTCGCGCCACAACCGTAGACCAAAATTCCCCCCGCCTTTCTGGTATTCAGGAACGTACGAGAACACAGTGACGGGTTTGGGCCTCGTGGGCCTCCTCGCTGCCTCCAGAGGCCAACACAGGAATTATCGGCGGTGCTTGAACGATGTTGGCGTTCTCGCCTTTTTTGGACTTTCACGGAGGAGGGATGGGGAAGAGTGGGCGAGCGGCGAAGCGGAGAAAGAAGGAGCGGAAGCGCGCACCCCCCCAGAAATCCGACGTCTTGATTTTTCAACACGGGGTCCCCAGAAGTCTCGACCCGTTCCCCAGGACCCCGGCTCTTCTTCCCGAATCGTTTGCTGGCGGTCCCGTGGCGCAACGAGGCCCCCCAGAGGCTGGAGACCGCCCAAAACCTCCCGTCGTGCTTTTTGTCAGGACCCGAAGGGGGTCTGGCCTCCCAGCTGCCCCCTGCGCAGCTCTCGGCGCCGAGCTCGCCACCAGCGGGCTCGGGTGGCGGCGCGGGCTGCCGCCGCGGCGTGGGCTGCCGCTGTTGGAGGCGGTGCAGCTTGTCGCTCGCGCCTTCGAACAGCTGGTGCCGTGGTCGCGCGGGCCGCCCCGCAGGCCGGAGTGTTTGGCGCCATGGGAGCCTGCGTGGCCCCTGGCGCGGTCCGATCTATTGAGGGGGCCCCAGGACACACAAATAGATACACACAAACAAACAGATTCCCCAGATTTCCTTGTATTTTCTGGGTTCTCATCTTCCCCCCCACTTCACACATTTTCCCATATTGTCCTGGGGGGCGACGATACATTGTGTCTGTGCGTGTGTTTTTCCCTCCTGATCTATCTGGGCCTGATCTGACCCGGACTCGGAAGACATGTGGGACCGAGTGAGGACCGCACTCGCCCCCTCGCTGGTGAGGCGAGGAGGACGAGGCAGGCTATGAGGGGAACAGGGAGGGTGCAGAGGAGCAGGAGGAGGGGCCACGTGCGGTCCGAAGGCGGCTCGAATGCCAGAACGTCAAC